AAACAGACATTCAATGAACATCCTTCTTTCGATACCTGTACCATTAATGTATGTACCGTAATGTTAAATTTAATGTAATAAATTAATCTTTTATAAAGTATCTAATTTGATAGGTACTTTCTCGCCAAAGATTTTTGAAAATAGCACTTTGTATTATAGAATAACAAAGTTTTCTCAAATGTCATCACTAAGTACATAGTATAAAACAAAGTCGCTTTCTCTGTCCTTATATTCCTATATATGTTTAGATCTTTAACACTACGCAAAAGATTTTGATTCGGTTTTTTTTTTTCATAGATAGGGTGATTCAAAAGGAAGGTTTTTATGTATAATGCAAGACCACGCTGGCGAAAAGCTAGTCCTATTAATATTATAAAGGCGAAAGTTTGTAAGTATGGATGTATGGATGTTTGTTACTCTTTCACGAAAAAACTACTGGACGGATTTGGATAAAACTTTACAGCAATATAGGTTATACATCAGAATAACACATAGGGTACTTTTTACTGGGAAAACTTCTCACTCCCACGGGATACCGACTTCCACGCGGACGAAGTCGCGGGCGTCCACTAGTTACCTATAAATGTCTTACTGTGTTGTTTTGAAAAAAAAATACACTGTACGAGGGTGCTGGTTGTAAGGTGTATATTAAAGGGTAAAATAAATAATAGTAACAAAAAGTTTTTTTTTTTTAAATACAGTAGGCAGATCGTTACTACTGTAGGTAATTAATTTTCTACATAGAATATAAACTTTTAATCCTCTTTAACTGTGTGCAATGTGCAATACTAAGTATTGCAATACTAAGTATTTGTATGTGCAGATACTCAGTACGATCGTCACGAAATATAAGTGTAAATAATAAAAATGATTACACACTAACTAACATACTATCAAGGCAAGTTAAATAAATGCTTGTCAAAAAGATGACTATTCCCGTTACGAAAACGAAACGCAGTGTCGTTTATAATGAGTTTTGACGCAATTGACAATGATTTAAAATTACCAATAAAGAATAATGAAAAATGACATTTGAGAGACATAAAAAATTATAAATTTAAGAACCTAGCAACAAGATGAACCTCGTCGATAGTACGATCTTAGATTAATGATATTATAATAATCTGAAGATATGATACACCGTTGTAATCGTTCTCATATATAACTCATTCACCGAAATGATAAGTGACTAATTTATCAACTTATTTCAAGTCCAATCCGATAACACTATCGTACGATTACTTTTAAGTTATATATTATCCTCAAACAAATTGTTTACTGTTAATTATAAAATCAAAGTTTTTGAACGAACCACATTCAGTTTTTTTTTTATATTAAAAGAACATTGTATAAACAAACGGTTACCCAGGTTTAATAAACAAAATTCGAGCACCACCTTACCCTGATATTTGGTTTGCAATAACGCTCCTTTTATTTCTACCAACGTTACCAGCCACTGTTATATTCGTAAACGAGCCTTAAAAGCTATATCGAAATCCACATTTGAATGTATATGTGTACCCCTTAATGGCGAGCTTGTGTATGGTCCAAGAAATAGTTTATAAATAATTTCGTTCTACACTTGAACTAATTAAATAAAAGAAACATATAATAAAAAACCTTATTGATTGATTTTAAGAGAAAGAGAGAAAAATTGCTAAATTCGTTATAAATTTGAGATAAGTTTTAATTATAAAATATTATACAGGTATGCGACAAAGCACTTTTTTAAGAAATACTTTAGTTTCAACAAACTGTAGTAGTATAATTTGGTAAATTTTGCATTCACAATGCTTTACTGGAAAATATTCTTAATGAAGAACGCTAATAAAACCAGCCCTTAAACTTGAACCCACGACCTTTCGTAATCCGGATGACTGCTACGAAAGGTCATGGGTTCCGTCCCATCTCAAAGTGTCAAGGACAAAGTGAGTTGAGTAATAGTTATTTATGAATCGTAGCATTTGTAACAGCGCCGAAATATTGAGTATTCAATATATACAAGATACACAGTAGCAATCCCGTAAATATCAATACTTTACCATGTACCATCTGTTAGCTTTTCTTAGTTTTCTTAAATTTATAGTTCTAACTGTGTATTTCATTGAATTATGTTAACATGTGTATATTAATATTTTTCAAAACAAATAAAATGTTACATGCAATATTTATTGTGTAGGTAGAAGTAAATTAAAGTAAATAGAAAAATGTATAAAAACGAGGAATTATTGTTAGTTCGGGTCAGTCTGGCTGTGAACGTTCATGAGTTGCTACCTGTACCTAAGTTAAGCTGTGTGTGAAAAAGTGAAATACAGTGTGGAAATTATTGTCATTGCCTTCATTGTCATTGCATTGCGACATTCTTAAGTTATAAACCTCCAGAAGACAACACATCTCAGAGTACCCGGGATTGGTGGATTTTTTAAGCATTCTTTTAGTTCATTTTTTTTTTATATTCTTATGATGTTTACTTTGCAACAGTCTTATAATAATAATAATAAAAACTTAAGCAGTATTTCAAGTTGTAAGTTGTTGAAAGTATTTTTCTTTATAAAATCTAGAATATTCGCTTTATATACAAGATGCTTCATAATAAAAAACAACGACCTTTCTAACCCGCTTCCTCCTGCAATTTGTACTAAAACAAAGGTCCAGCGAAAATGGGCGTCCACAGTTTTCACTGAACGTTTGAATGGAAACGACTTTATTCAGATAGCAGCCCGATTTTATCTTGGCATTATATCATACACAGATTATGCTTCCACTGATAGCTACTGCGTATTCCACCATTCCACAGTTTTTGTACGGATTTAAAGCTTATAGGTGCATTTTTTATATTCGAAGCTTAAAGTGCTCTACTTTTGAAAGCTTTCCGTTCGTTTTATAACCTTAAAAAGTTAACGATTATTTATAATCATAATTTTGTTTGGCCATTCTCTGTCCTTATTATCACACACATTATTTTTCCTCCTCAGCCCCTCTTAATGAACCGTATATTTTATGAATACTCTAAAACTGTTAGGTGTAGGAGCTTGCTTTTAAGGATACCCAGTATTGCCAACCCTACTTATTTAACAGTAGATTTGCTGTTTTCACAGTGATGTTGTTTTCTGATTAATTCCTTATTTTTACTATTTTAATTAGCGTTCAGCACCACCTATTACACTATTATACATTTGAAATCACTGAAAGGCACCTGAAACAATTCAATAAAACTATTTATGATTTTAAAAAGGAAAATGAGCCAGAAAATACACTTAAAAATATTTATACATATAAAAGATGAGGATGAAAGTGGAAACGAATTTAGTTTTTTATTTTGTATCATATTTCGTATCTTTAATATTTTATTTTGTGTAATATAACAATATATGTAAGTTTTGACAACTACTAAAAGTATGTCAGTATTATCATATCAATTTTATTTCTATAGGTAGTAATAAAATATGCCTTAATAACATATCATTCTGTTTTCTTCTGTTTTTTTATTAGTGATCAGTCGTTTTTTAGTTTCTAGGGGTTGGCATCACTGTCTGTACCAGTGTTACATCAAATGTAAATTTTATTATATGCAAGACTTCCCAATTTTGGAATTTCGATATATCAAATATACTATTGTTATCTATTTTTTTTTTTAGACTCGAGTTGTACACTTGGATGCGCTACAAAAAATTAACACTTATTTATTTTATTCCATATTATGTCATTCAATAACTGTTATGTCGTTATTTATACTCCACTTTCGCGTTGAGTATCAATTTGTCATTTTTCGTCCAGTTTTCATTCCACACATTTGACACCACTCTATCTTTTAGGTCAATTTTCTTTCTCATCTCACTTTCTTACCAATGCAATCTGCTTGCGATAATCCGCGAATTCTACGGTGAAGGCACTTAAACCGCATACAAAAACTTATTGTACAAAAAAATGTGAAATACGTTTATAACAATCACCAAAGTTAGCACCATTGGTACACACTGCATATACTTGTACATATTTCCTTTTAGCCGATCACCGAAATGTTGTATTATCAAAGCCTCATTATAATTTTTTTATAACATCCCAAACAGATAAAACATTAAATCTTCAGCCAAGCATTACGGATCAACCTCCTATCCGCATCGCAAACATCCCTCGCTATAAATAATCACCATTCAATCGGTGATCGATATTTTTCCCTAATTGCTCCGTCCCAAATGACCACTCAAATACGGGACTCGAACCCGTGACCGTCCCTTAATTAATTTAACCGTGAACATTGACAAACGGGCCTGCCGAAATAAATCTACTACAAATATAATTAGAAGTGTGCCCTCGGGTGAATGAATGGAAACACCCGAATTTCTATGAACACAACATTTTCTCTGCGCAAATGTACTTACAGCTAGCGAAATTGTTTAAACATATATATGTTGCTTCATATGAAGCAACTAATGATTTATAGAATCTATTGTTTAGTTTAATTCTTGACTCTCGATAAAAAACAAAAAAAAATGGGTAGGTAGACATAAGTTAACATGATTTCTGCTGATATAATCAAAATGTCACCCTATGAGATGTTTTCTGGCCGTTCTCGTAATCGGAGAGATAGAGCGGGAGAATGTACTGAAGTGTAAAAGTATAATTGTATGAAATATAATATTATACAGCGGGAGGCTCAGGGAGGGGTCTATAGTTTTGTATATCTTCAGAAAGTATTTCATAATGAAAACAATACAAACGTTGCGTGAAACTCACAGAAGAGAGTAGATCTGAGAGAAAGTAGGCGGATATAGAATATATTGCAAACCGGAGAAGGGCAACACTCATAGGTAATTAATTTGATAGTAGACTATCACAAAGGGAGTCTTGTAGTGCTCGATCCTCTCTATCTATCTGGCAAGAGTTTTTACGTGGATACACTGTTAATGAATAAACTGATTAAGCATAGTCATATTAAATTAAAAATACTGAATACTTCACCAATACTTGCAACAGTGTCAAACGCGTGTGTTACGAGTGGATCCCCGTAAGTAATAGCTTCACTGGATTGCAAATCAGTTTTCTGTATCTGCGATAAATATATGCATCATATTTTGTTTTATATTTACAAAAAATGAAATAAATTCTATTACAGTTTAATTTAAAACAAATTATAATTAACTTACATAAGTAATCCGGAACATTTTTAAAACAAAATATCGATGGATGATAAAACACATTTTATTTGTTTTTAACACAAGGAAACATTTCAATTTAATTTTGTATTTTCACTTTTAACATAGCCTGCTAGTTTCTGCAAACCTGGTATGTTAGCAGTCTGATACCATTCATATTGCTTCATTGTTTCGTACCACTGTGACAGTTTGGGGAACTCCTCGAAAGAATACATTTCGTCGAGCGTAGATAGTGATGCCACTAACGAGATGTCTGCCAAAGTCAAGTGATTTGCTGCGAAGAATTTCGTCTGCTCTAGGTATTTCTCTAATATACCATACAATTCCTTCAACTCCACTGCCTGTTCCTCTGTCGGTATACGCTTCTTTTCTTTCAATAACGTTAGAATCATTCCACGAAGTTTGGGGAAAACTATCGAAGTATCCATATACATTCGCTGATCAACCGTAGCTCTTACTTCTAAATCACAAGGATACAATTCAGCTTTCTTCTCCGCACCGTATTTTGATACCAAATAAGTAATGATCGCGTGGCTGTCAGCGAGCTTGAAATTGCCGTCTTCTAAAAACGGGATGGTGTGGACAGGATTCTTCTGGACGAATTCTGGTTTCAGATGGTCTCCTACCATCGGCATAACTTCTGAACGTTCCACATTTAAGCCGAGCAGTTTGATGACCATCAAGACTGCTCTAGTTGGAGGACTTCCATCCGTGCTGTGTAATACGATCGGCATGTCGATAACAAATGAAACGTACAACTGCCTTGTTTATGATCCAACACAATTCTGACTAGTCATGGTGTCTAATCGATAGCTTACTCAACCGGTTATCAAGGTGATAATATTTCACAACTTCTTTTTATTATCACTTATAAATATTACACAAGACATTATTTAATTATATTATGGAAACTAAATAGATTGTTTCTATCAATAAATATATTTACAATATTTGTTATCGATATCTATTTTGCGCACGGCAACATCAATGATTTTATATTTTTATTTGTCACTTTTTCCTTTAAGTTTGTTAGTGACCCAGCAAATATACATATATAGCCGTGACACATACTTGCTTTATATTTTTTACAAATAGTTTTAGGTAGCTCATGGATTTTTATTTCTTTATATTCTTATATTTACTGTGCAAAAAGAAATCTTGAGATATTTGGCTTCACTCGAGATAAATATAAAAATCTCTAGACATCAGTTTTTTGTTTTCTTATCTTCTTCTTAGGCGCTACACTCTTGACAGAGTGGTCGTGGTCGTCAAGTCGATATTAGTGGCCTCCTTCACAATGCGACGCCGCTCCTCAAGAACTTATAACGTTTTCTTATAACGTGGTGATAAACCAACTATGCTTAAGCTCAATAAATAATAAGTTAAGGAATAAGAAACCCTTTATGTTTCTCATGCAGTAGGTTATAAATACACGAGATCAATCATCGGGATATTATACATAATAGTATCGTTTCTACGGCATTTATAATCCATGAAGTTTTATATCTTTATCAGTATCGACAGAACGTCAGACACTAGATAAGATTCAATTAAGTACTCAAGTACATTTCAAGCCTAAAAGTGTTCAGAGTTACGTTCCAAATGAATTACGGAAATGTCAATGGATAAATAATAGGGGATAAACGCCCATTACAGACAAAAAATATTTTTTTAACACATATAGTTGATTAACCTCTAGTTTATCATGATCACTATTTTGGAGATTACTAGAGTTCTTAAAAGAAACAAGAAAATTTCTTGTCGATCGAATCGAATAGGGAGAACTATCTACCCAGTGGGTGTTAATGACTACAGATGCATCCAGTAGCAACGGCTTGGCGTATCCATGGATAAGCTCGAGCTATTAGAACTTTGGTCACCCATCCTATGGCCGATCTTTGCGAAAGTTGCCCAACTTCTGTAATTGGGCAAATATGATTTTTTGGCAAAGTATTGAAAGATGCACATCCTAAGAGGTGTGAATCATTATATGGCTAATTTTCAAGTTAACAGTATTACTACCAACACTCATGTCGAGATATAAGTGTGTTGTTGACTTACTTTTTGCACAATAAACCAGTTATCGTGTTGTAAACCTCTCATTGATATTATTTCAGTTACGTAATTGATTACGTCTTTATCGTCAAGCTTAACGTCCAAACGGTGTTACGATACATTTAGTCATGAGAAAAACTCTCAAAATGGCGTTCGTGCTTTATAAAACCGACGGGAGCCCCCCCGCTCGCGCAGCTATGATGGTTGTCGATCTTCTCGGTTTAAAAGTGAAAACTTCCGAAGTGTTTCCACCAACAGGAGATCATCTCAAGCCAGAATTTGTGCAAAAGAATCCAATCCATACGATCCCTTTCATAGAAGATGGTAACTTCCGACTCGCTGACAGCCACGCAATCATAACTTACTTGATGTCTAAATATGGCGATGATAAAAAGTTGGAATGGTATCCCAACGACCTGGAGGTGAGAGCTACTGTCGATCAGCGCATGTATATGGACGCGACTATTGTTTTCCCCAAGATCCGTGCGATGCTAGCGACTTCGTTAATAGATAGAAAATCTGTTCCGACAAACGAACAATTAGCCGAAGTAAAAGAAGTATACGGTATCTTGGAGAAGTATCTGGAACAGACGAGATTCTTCGCAGCCGACCATTTGACTCTGGCTGATATTTCACTCGTGGCATCGGTTTCAACGCTCGATGGTGTCATCCCCGTAAACGAATTTCCCAAACTGTCACAATGGTTTGAAACAATGCAGCAATACGACTGGTATCAAAGTGCAAATAAGCCGGGCTTAGAAAAAATTACTAAAATGTTCCATAAAAATAATAAGTTAGCAATTACTGAAAGAAAATTACAAAATAATTAATTTGTTTCTTATATTTCTAGTAAACATGGAACCTATAAAGGAAAAAAAGTATAGGAATGTAATAATTTTATAAATTTTACACTTGACAAAATAGTTTAAGAATAGTTTGATACCATTATTGATAAAGTTTTTCATGATAAAATGGATGTTGTCTTTAGTATATTTTTTTTAATATATGATAATATCTATTAGATAATTATTTATAATAGCTGCATGTTACTTTTTTTACACCAATTTTATTATGATGTTTTTTATGCCTAAATTAAATGAATGTTGATTTATGTAATACTGGCATTATGTAAAAATTAAATTTTCATCTTATTTATAGGATATTAGATAAGGACTAGTATTGACTAAGACCTTAGATGGGAATTCTGCCATGTAATTATAATTTATATTATTTGTAATATTTAAATTTTTATTATATTATATCAATTTTGCATTTACAATGCTATATCGAAAAATATTCTTAATGAAAAATGCTTAAAGATCCAGTTTGTCCCTAGTACTATGTGATTTTGAGACCCATTGCTGCGAAAGGTCATGAGTTCCATCCCTTCTTTTTAAGTATATTCGTAGAGTTATTGTGTTAATTCTTACTGATGATGTCCGCGTTGGTTATTTGATAAGAAAAATGGCAACGTATAAGATTTAATACATTTACATTTCTCTATGAAGTCAATGCTAAGGTATGCAAATCTTATATTTTTCGTTGAGAATCCTTTTCTTCTGAGAAATATCTTTACTTTTTCAAAACAATTAACTATTTCACTTTCAATAAAATAGTAATCGATTAATATAATAATCACTATAACTTATCGTTTAGACAGACACAAATAACTTGTAAGCAAGTTCTTGGTGCATACACGTGTGAATCGACATGTGTGTACAAAAAACTTGATTACATTACACTGGCAAATTAAATATGATTTATCGTTTAATCAAAAAGGCATAATTGTGCTTGAAGGAATCAGTATTCATTCGGACATAGCAAAATGACTTTCGTGATTTATTAAACTGACTGCAGTTCCCGGGGCACGAGCTGTTATAATGGTTGTAGACCTTCTTGGTGGACCTCAAAGTGGAATATTCTGAAGTATTCCCATTAACAGGAGATCAACTCAAGCTGTAGTTTGTGAAGAAAAGCCCTGTTCACACAATTCTGTTTTTAGAAGATAAAAAATTCCAACTAGCTGATAGTCACGCTATCATAACGCATTTAATCTCGACATTTAGTGCGGACAAAAAATCTTAATTGTATCTAATAATTTGGAACTGAGAACAATAATTGATCAGTGGATCTTTAATATTTCCAAAGGTTCTTGTTCAAACAAGAAACCCGTTCCAATAGAGAAACAAATAACAGAAATAAATGAAGTATATGGTATACTGGAGAAGTATCTCAAGCAAACAAAGTTCTTCGCAGGCAGTCGTTTAACGCTAGCAGACATCTCCCTAGTGGTTTCCATATTTTGGACGTAGTCATTCCCATAAAAGATTTCCCCAAACTGTCACAGTGGTAGGAATCCTTGAAGCAACATGAGTGATACCAAACAGCTAATGTGCGTGGCTTAGAAAAAAAAATTGAAACAACAAAGTGAACTACTAAAAAAGTAAAGGTATTTTTGGCGATGAAAAATGTACTCTGTTTATGGTTTAATTAATTTATTATTTTTTAATAACATGGATGTGAAACAAAAAGTTCTTTGTAGTATTTAAAATTCAAAAGCCATAAATGTATTGTATAGGTATTAATATGTGTTTGTATTATAAAAGTATTTTATTTTGCCATCATTTCATAGTAATATTACGTATAGAGAGCTTATATAATTTGTTTTCCTTTTAAATTAATCAGATCTACGTAACGATATGCTACACAATTATTTCATTTATTTATTCTTAAAAGTAATAAGATTTATTATTGTACTTAATTTATTTTAAAAAACATTCATGGTTTAACTAATTAATGATTTACATATAGATATGAGATGTTTGTTTTGAAGAAACCGTTGTCGATATTGTTTCCTATTTTTTGCGCCATGCTTTTCGATGCAATTTTTGTTTGTTACCAATTATACTAAAAGCATTTGTTAGAATATGTATTTCGTCTTCAGAAATTAGCCTAGGTGACCCTTAGCAGAAATCACTCTCAAAATTTTAGATTTGGACTAAAACTATTAAACTATTTTAATGAAAATTTATTAAAAACTTTCTTCGTATAATTGTGCTAAATTCTACATAAATATCCATCTGACCTTCCAACTCATCTATCCAGACGTCCAAATTTTGACTGCAACGTGATTTCTGCAAAAGCTGCAATGCTATTGAAATGTGCAAAAATATTGACTGGTTATCACCAGGTTAGCTTTACATGCTGAATTTTGCTTAAATATCTTCAGTAATACTTTTTATGTGAATATGTCATGAATCAGCTCCAGCATATGAAATTTGTGATGGAATGATAACTAAAACCAAATATACCGCTTCGAACTTTTCCAATTCACTCAGACCACGTAATGAACGTTAGAAGCCAGATACATTACACCAGAGATACCGTTAAAGACTAGCAATATCCCAGTTTCGTAACGATAAATAGCTCCACGGTAAAGCCCTAGTTTATTTGGAACAACTTAATAAATGCAACGTACACATAATTGAAAATAATGAAACACTTGAGTATATCTATGTTTTCAAACATTTGAAACCAACATTAATCTTCATTAACTACAGCCAATTGAACAGTTAATTCGGTGATATATTGTACGTACACGTACCAAAGTCGGGCTATTGTTATCACCAGAGCTACCTTTGTTTTTCAGAAACTCGGCCGCTGAGTTATTGTCCTCTTGCTATAGGTGAGGGCATCTACTTTAGGAAAGATAGGACAGGGAGGGTGTATCAATAGGGATGGGAAAAAGGATACACTGTATTAACATAACTATAAAAACTGTAGCAAACACTCACTTTCCACGATCAATTGATTAGGTAATCGATGGATTGTTTATACTGCAAAGACGGAAGAATGTAACCTTACCTTTTGGTTATTAAGTCCACTCTTTCTGTTTTATCTGCAAGAATTCCAGCATGAAGATATAGGATTAGATAAAAAAAATCAAGCCCATTCCCTACATTAAACTACTGTCCATACCACCACTCCTTCCCAAAGGCTTAGACGTGGATACAAAGTCGATATATGAGCGAAATGCGTGTATGATACATACCGCAACAGCCACGGTAATTGGATAGAGTCAAGAAACTCAATATGCCCTATCAAGCTGACTGCTGAATGTTCAATTGTGTAACAAATAATCCATTTACCCCGTTTAGCAAGTTTCTTTTGTTGTATAATTGTTTTAAATTATAATTTAAGAAGTACTTATATTGTAATTTTATTAAAATTTGTTAGAGCGGGCCTTATAAGCAAAAACTTTTATTTGTCCATAATCAGATAAAACAATTATAACTAAATTTTATATCACTTCACACTAGAGCTGGCGTAAAGGTATACTTACAGATATGTTGTAATATAAAGTACTGTACTCGATTTGAAATGAATGTATAGACTTGACCTTATAAAAAATCTAATCTTATCGACATCGATAAATATTGTACGGGCACAACACGTCCATCGAGGAAACAGCGTCCCGACCATTTGTCACCCCAGTAGTTATGTGCCTACGATATATTGATTGTTATGAGCGGATTTAGTTTACGTATATGTCTATAATATATCCACATTCACACATCGACACATAGATTTGATACGTGTAGTGTTGCCAGGCGCTCGCTCGAAGTCGTTTTAGTTACGTATGTCGCCAAATGAGGGCAATTGATGACCTGTATTTAGGTATGATTTTTTAAATTCGTTTGTAATATTTTGGTATGCTTTTCGCCCACACGAAGAATAAGTCTTATTCTATGCATAAAATTATTCTTACCATTGTATCAAACTGTCTAACTAAACTAATTACGGCTTAAAATAAAAAGAAATGTATTTGTAGGGGAAATGTAGAAATGTAGTTGTAAGTATCTCGATACCCCAATAGCCAGCGCGCTCAGTCTTCGATACGGTTGTTTAGTATATTTCGCAAGGGCCGGTCATAGGATGGGTGACCTATAATTTACTATCTTGAACTCCTCTGTGCTGCGAAAGACACGTTAAGCCATTGATCCCGGCTGCATCTGCAATCATCAATACCCACCAATCCAAACTGGGCGCGCGTTTTGGGTCATAGCCCATTCGCCCTTGTTAATACCATCAATAGGGAAGGCCTGAGCCCCAGTAATAGGGACATTAATAGGTTGGTGATAGTATTTGTGAGCCGAATTATTATCCGTCCGATTTCCCTTTGAAAACCTGGCAACCCTAACATACATGAACTGAATTATTTGGTGACATAATATCCGACTTAATGCTATAGTTTTTATCATCATAATAGATGTAAGATAATCATTTAAACTATAATGCATATGCATACATACATACTGTAGGTGTTCAATAACAAAAATATTTTTATTACAATCTCAGATAAACAATTTTGATAAGCAACATATCATGGTCTCAATTCCGCTAACGTTAATGTAATATTGAAGGCTGGCAGAAACTGCCCAAGGTATTAATTCCGCATTTGTACATCTATGCATAAGTTATTAAAAAGAAATAACAGTCGCATATATTGGGTTGGCACAAAAGTAATGAGACACACTAGAAAAATCTATAACATTTCCTTTTTAAAATCAATTTTTTCGATAATATTCTAGAATGTTGTAGAACATTCTAGGTACTTCTGGTGTAGGGTATATAAAGCCGCGCTCGCGATTTGTTTAGTCAGTTTGAAGAAAAATGGACGAGCGACAAGTTTGAACACTATACTTATACGAGTACTTGTAAGGCCACAGTGCGCGGGCTGCGGCTGACAATATCAACAATGCATTAGGCGCTAGAAGTACAAGCCATGCGACGGTATCCCGATGGTTTGACCGTTTTAAATCAGGAGACAGGAGCCTTGAAAGTCAGCCACGCTCAGGGCGACCACCCGCAGTGAATGATGACGATTTGCGCCGCGAACTGCATTTGAATCCGGATGCTACCACTCGTGAATTAGCGGAAGCACTTAAATGCAGTCACCACGCCGTGGAACACTATCTGCATGAGCTTGGTTATCGAAAAGTTTTGGCTCGGTGGGTACCGCACATCCTTACAGACGCCAGTCGTGCAGTCCGTGTCGCTATCTGTCAGTCACTTTTGCTGCGACCCCCGACGTAAAGAGTTTTTGTCAGATCTGATTACTGGAGATGAATCATGGATTTATTACGAGAACGATACACGTCGTGCTTTTTGGCTGCCTCGAGAAGAAACGCCACCAACTCAACCGAAGCCGAGTCAAAAGAACCGCCGAAAAATTCTGCTTTGCTGTTTCTGGGATGCGCAAGGCATACTGTTTTATGAGCTATTACACAATGAAACTATAAACGCTGACAAATATTCAACCCAGCTTACCAAATTATCTGCCGCTATCAAGAAAAAACGACGAAGACGAGTCAATGTAGTTTTACTGCACGATAACGCTCGACCTCACGTCGCATCTG